TGATTCTCTCACATCATTGATGTTTCTATCTCTCTCTCCCTCTCCCTTCCTCTCTGAAATCAATAAAAATATATTAATTAAAAAATAAAATAAGTTTTAGCCCTGGCTGGGTAGCTCAGTTGGTTATAGCATCATCCCAACACCAAGGTTGTGGGTTCAATCTCTGGTTAGGCACATATAAGAAGCAACCAATGAATGAATAAATGAGTAGAAAAATAAATCGATGTTTCTCTCTCTCAATCAATTAAAAAATTATTTTAAAATTTTAGTCAGTTGACTGATTACAAAATTTATATCTAAAAATTGATAACATTCCAAAACACACACTTTTTATAAGTGTTACATGACTGTGAATATTTTGTGGGAATAGTTTAATACTCTGTATTGAATACTTTCAATAGAGATATTACTAGAATCCAAAATCCACTTCTAAAAATGTTTGCAAAGGAAATAATGGCAAAGACATGCAAAGCTGATGTAAAACTATTATTTAGGCCTATTAGTAGAGGAGTAACTGAATGAGTAAAAGTACACAAATCTAATGAAATACTATGCAGTTATTAAAAATGCTAACAATCTATATTTAGTGAAAAGAAATGCACCTCAAAGGTATGTACAGCATAAGCACATGAAATCATGCTGAACATCAGCTAACAATCTATATTTAGTAAAAAGAAATGCACCTCAAAGGTATGTATAGCATAAGCACATGAAAACATGTTGGACTTCATTAATCTTTAGAGAACTGCAAATCCAAATCACCATTGAGATACCACTTCCCAGCCCCTAGAATGGCTGTAACAAAACCAGGAAAACAGCAAGTGTTGGTGAGGATGTGGGGGAACTGGAACCCTCATGCACGTCTGGTGGGAATGTAAAATGGCACAGGCACTTTGGAAATGTCTGGTAGTTCATCCAACGATTAAACATATTCAGGCCCTGACCGGTTTAGCTCAGTGGAGAGAGCAGTGGCCTGCGGACTGAAGGGTCCCAGGTTCGATTCCAGTCAAGGGCATGTACCTTGGTTGCGGGCACATCCCCACTAGGGGGCGTGCAGGAGGCAGCTGATCAATGTTTCTCTCTCATCGATGTTTCTAACTCTCTATCCTCCCTTCCTCTCTGTATAAAATCAACAAAATATATATTTAAACATATTCAGCGCTCACCTCACGGGACTCTTCTTTTTTTTTCTTTTCTTTTTTATTTCAGAGAGGAAGGGAGGGGAGAGAGAGATAGAAACATCAATGATGAGAATCACCTATCGGCTGCCTCCTGCACGCCCCACACTGGAGATCGAGCCTGCAACCTGGGCACGTGCCCCAACCAGGAATCAAACCATGACCTCCTGGTTCACAGGTTGATGCTCAACCACTGAGCCAAGCCGGCTGGGCCACCTCACTGAACTCATAATTATGAGCTACTCTGCTCCCCATGATTTCATTATGAAAAATTTCAAATATATAGCAAAGCCTAAAGAATTTTACATTTGAATACCTGTATGCCTATTACATAGGTTTTATCATGCCTTTGTTTCCTTTATTATAGTGGGGCCTTGACTTACAAGTGTCCCGACTAACTTCTCTCGGCCGATATTTTGCGTTGAGTTGATAGAGTAATTTGAGTTAACGAGCTCCTTAATGAGCTCCTTAATGAACTCGGTCTCCGACAAATTAAACTCGTAAGTCAAGGCCCCACTGTATCTATCTATCTATCTGTTACTCCTCTACTCATCAGTAATCTATCTTTAGTCTTTAAGGTGAAGGAAATATTTCAATGGCAAACACATGCAAAGCTGATCTCCTCTACTCCTCAGTAATCTATCTTTAGTCTTTAAGGTGGAGGAAATATTTCAATGGCAAACACATGCAAAGCTGATGTAAAACTATTATTTAGGCCTATTAATTGATTGAGAGGGAGAGAGAAACATTGATTTGTTGTTCTACTTATTTATTCATTCACTTACCATATAATCCAGAAATTTCACTCCAGGATTATATCAGAGAAGTAAAAACATGCCCACACAGCCTTAACCAATTTGACTCAGTGAACAGAGTGTTGGTCTGTGGACTGAATGGTCCCGGGTTTGATTCCAATCAAGGGCATATGCCCGGGTTGTGGGCTGGATGCCCAGAAGGGGGCGTGCAGGAGGCAGCCAATCAATGATTCGCTCTCGTCATTCTGATGTTTCTATCTCTCTCCTTCTTGCTTCCTCTCTGAAATCAATAAAAATAGACTAAACAAACCAACAAACATGCCCACACAAAAGCTGTACGCAGATGTTATAGCAGCATTATTTATAATAGCCCAAATGTGGAAACAACCCAAATATCCACCAGCCGATAAAGGGATAAACAGAACGTGCTGTATCCACACAATGGCACAGTATTGAGGGATAAAAAGGAATCCATGCTACCACGTAGATAAACCTCCAACACATGATGCCGAGTGAAAGAAGCCAGTCACAAAAGACCACGTTATATGACTGCACTTATATGAAATGTCCAAAACAGGCAAATCTATAGAGACCACAAAGAATGTGGCTGCTTACATATGGGGGAAATGGAAGGACAGAGGTGGTAACTAGAAGGCACATGGCTTCTTTTTGAGGTGGTGAAATGTTTGAAATTGACTGTGCTGATGGTTGAATATGACTATGACTATACTAAAAACCACTGAATTGTACAATTTAAATGGGTAAGTTGTGTGGTATATGACTAATAGAACTGTTATTTTTAAAAAGCTCTTAATAGAACTCTCATCATATGCTTACTGGGAGGTTTAGGGGGAAATGTATAAATGTTTGCAACTTACTTTGAAATACATTTTTTTAATGTAAAAAGATGGGTTAATGACAAGCAGAGTTGTGATATATGGATAGATATGTAGTAAAGGAAGCACAATAAAATCATGATAAAACCTAAGCATATAGATATTCAAGTGTACAATTCTTTTTAAAAAATTTATTTTATTGTGTGGCGAGCCGGCATGGCCATGGCATACTCAGCCCCAGGGCGCCTTATGTGCCATGCCAGCTCAGCCTGGTTCAGTGACCCTGAGTGGGGGCGGTGAAAGGCTTAGAAAAGACAGACAAGAGAATGAAAGCTGGGTCTCGGTGGGATACTGCTTCTCTGATGGAGAGAGACAGCGCCCACAAGCTGGTCTTTATTTTATAGCAGATGCCACGAGGCAAAGTAGGGGCGTGATCAAGATGTTTACAACCTTCTCCTGGGTTTCAATCCTACTCAACTACATGCACCTGAACTGTATCACTCAGGCACCTGGGGCCATGTGTTCGGACCATAGGTTCAAGCTCACAACTACAGCTGTTAGCTATAATTGTGCTGGGAGAGATCTGCCCTCCAAGCTGGGACTTGCACGTGGCAATGAGAGGGCTGTGCCCTCTCCTCAGTCCAAGGCTTGAACCTATCCAAAACACTGTAGCCCCACCCCACATTATTGATTTCAGAGAGGAAGGGAGAGGGAGAGAGAGATAGAAACATCAATGATGAGAGAGTCACTGATCAGCTGCCTCCTGCACACGCCACACTGGGGATTGAGCCACAACCCGGGCATATTCCCTCATAGGGAATCAAACCGTGACCTCCTGGTTCATAGGTGCATGCTCAACCACTGAGCCACACCGGTACGGTTCAAATGTACAATTCTTTAAACTTTGCTATATATTTGAAAATTTTCATAATAAAATCATGAGGAACAGGGATGCTCATAATAGTAAGGGTTCAGTGAGGTGAGCAGAAACAAAATAAAATAACTTAATTGCTCTTCTATGTAACAGTAAATTTAAAGAAAAGAACAAAAAAGGTCAAAAGTAAAAAAAAAACACCACCATTCACAATGGCAAAAAATTTAAAAGTCAAGGTGAAGATGAGGGACAGGGAGCCACATCCTTAGTAAATGCAGAATCCTAACCTGTTCTTAAAAGTGACAACTGAATATTTAAGTATTTAAGCTCCATCTAAATGAATGTACACATTGAGTGATTCCAGTCATGATGGCATGGATTTGCCTCTTGTTATACTGTTAACGGAAATTTAAAAAATATATATATTTAAAGAAAAAATTCTATGTTTGTTATATGAATGTTTATGATATGAAATTAAGTGATGAGGCAAATTATCAGAGATTTGTTGGAATTGTGCAAATCAAGCACAGAAAAATGAAGACTAGCCCTGGCTGGTTTGGCTCAGTGGATAGAGCATCGGCCTGGGGACTAAGGGAGGGTCCCAGGTTCGATTCCAGCCAAGGGCACAGGCCCAGGTTGTGGGCTCGATCCCCAGTAGGAAGCATGCAGGATGCAGCCGATCAATGATTCTCTCATTGATGTTTCTGTCTCTCTCCCTCTCCCTTCCTCTCTGAAATCAATAAAAATATACTTTACAAAAAAGAAAAATGAAGACTAAAAGAAACATCTATGAATATTTTAACAAAGGTGACCATTGGGGAACTGAATTGGGTGAACTGGGTGCTATTTTACTTGTGCTATAATGATGCTAAAAGGAAATATTTACCAGTGTGTGTGTGTGTGTGTGTGTGCGCGCGCGTGTGTGTGAGAGAGGGAGGGAGGGAGGGAGGGAGGGAGAGGGAGAGAGAGAGAGAGAGAGAGAGAGAGAGAGAGACGCACAAATTTGCAGGAAGGGCAAAATCCTCATTTTAGTGGCAGCCTGACTTTTTCAGATGTGCTTTGAATCGTCCACCTCCTACAAGCTTTCAGGTCAAGATGATACGGGGGTGGGGGGATGTGGGAAGCCCAAAGCTTTGCAAAGAAGGTACGTTTGCAACTCACCCCACCCACCCCCCACCAGCTTCGGCTCTCACAAACCCCCCAACGCATGAAACATCTGGACCTTCCCAAACACTGGTCACTGTCCATCAGCATCATCGCGAGCCCAGACCCCGGGTTGCTGACCGTGACCCCGGCTCCTGTCATTAAGCCGCATCTTAGATTCCCCAAAGCGAACAGACACTGCCTTCCCGATCAAAACCCAGTCCCCACCGCAGTCCTCAGTCACGCAGACACCAAGCCTGGCCACGGACTGCCAGCCGGGCACCTCGCCGGCCTTTCCCTACTGCCCACAGCATCCCGCAGGGCTGACCCCACAGGCGCCCCAACCAGAGACTCCCGCTGGCTGACTCCCCCCCGCGGACGCCACGGCCCTCCCACTCGCACTCAGACACCGCGATCCTTCCATCCTGTACCTCCGAAAGCTCCACACAGAGACTGGCTTTTCTCGTGACCCCGCCGCGACCTTCCACGAGCTGCACCTCCGTGAATTCTTTGCCGCGTATGTCCTCGCGCAGCCTATGCGCCGGTCTGCGGCGACCAAAGAGTCGGAGGCATTTGTGCGGCGCACCGACGCCTAGACTTCCGGTTCCCACGGAGAAAAGGTCTGCGCCCGTGTCCTCATCGCATCCAGGGAGCGGCCATCTTTCCACACTTGACGTACAAAAGGCGAAATAGCCGTTTGGACCCGAGTCGCCAGGGAAGGCTCGGGACGGTGAAAAGCCACCGAACGACTTCATTTCTCGGCGCTTTAAAACGCCGTAAACAAACTGCATTCACTTTCGGAAGCTCGAACTGGCGCCAGGCAAACGTGGGGCGGGCTGCGTCCACCTCAGCAACCTGGGGAGAGAAGCTGTCCGCTTTGCACTGAGCACGATTCGGAAATGACACCGCGGGCGCAGCCATCTTAGAAGTTAGGTGTCCGTACAAAGGAAAACGACTTTTCCGCGGAGTTAGAAGAGCCAAGGTACAGGCTGAATGGCAAATACCCCGAAAATGCTTTTGGCGGAAAGATTTGGGGGACAGAAAAGGGTCTTCAGAATCACTCACTGGGGATAGCTATAAAAACAGACACATACACACACATAAACACACCCACACACACGCCCCCACCCCTCACCCCCTCCCGGACTGGAAGAAACAGCTTCCAGTGATGCCAATACTGAGTGGGTCTTTTTGAGAACTAAAGGCCAGGATTTCTGGAAGGCATATAACTCCACAGAGAATACAAAGTTATGCAAGATTGGAAAAGTTATGACAGTACGGGGTGTCCCCAAAAATGTATTCATTGGCCCTGGCCGGCTTGGCTCAGTGGATAGAGCGTGGGCCTGCGGACTGAAGGGTCCCGGGTTCCATTCTGGCCAAGGGCACATGCCTGGGTTGTGGGCTTGATCCCCAGTGGCGGGCGTGCAGGAGGCAGCCGATCAATGATTCCCTCTCATCACTGATGTTTCTATTTCTCTCTCCTTTTCCCTTCCTCTCTGAAATCAATAAAGAAATATATTTTAAAAAATGTATTCAATGTATTCACACTTTTTTTTTCTGATAGCTCAGTTAATGCCTCTTTCTTTTCAGATTTAACCCATTGGAATTAATAACTATTCAGTGTATACATTTTGGGGAGACACCCTATATATTACATGGCTGAGCTATAAATTGTATGTAATAGCCATCATAATGTAAACACTACATCTGATTTTTTTTAAATTGTTGTAATGCAATAAGTAAACTTTTCCCATGTTCTGTGAGCCATTTTAGCAAATTACCAAACTGAGGAGAAGGTCATGGAAGTCCCTGACTTATAGCCAATCCATCAGAAATACAGTAGGCCCCACCTGGCAAGTGGCATCTGAAGTGGGGGTGGGTAGCAATATTGTAGGATTGGGCCCTGAACCTGACTCAAGGAAGGCATTGTCAGAATTGAGTTGAATTGGACACACACTTGTTATCACAGATAAATAGAGAGTTCCTTGGTGTGGGAAAAAAACCCATGCATTTGGTGTCAGAAATATTATAAGGTAGAAAAACAGTTCTCATTGAGTTCTCATTATGCAGCTCTTTGGAATACAGTCTGGCAGTTCCTCAAACAGCTAAACACATTTACTATTCTGTGATCCAGCAAGTTCACTCCTAGGTTTACATCCACAAGAAATGAAAACATATGTCCACACAAAAATATGTACATGTTTATAGAAGCATTAATTAAAATAGCCCCAAAATAGAAACAACTCAAATAGCCACGAACTGATGTAGAGAAAAATAAAATGTGCCATATCCATACAATGGAATATTATTCAGGTGTAAAAACGAAGTCTAGAAACATGTTGTAACATGGATAAACCTTCAAACTTTATGGTGGTGAAAGAAGTCAGTCACAAACACTGCATATTATATGACTGCACTTATAAAATGTCCAGATAAGCCAATTCATAGAGACAGAAAGTAGATTAGTAGTTACTTAAAGGTGGGGCGAATGGAGCTAGAATGGCGTGGCATCCACCTATGAGGCAGGAGGTCACATTTCGATTCCCAGTCAGGTCACATGCCCAGGTTGTGTGCTTCATCCATGTGAAACTTGCAGGAGGCAGCCAATCAATGATTCCCTCTCATCGTTAATGTTTCTCTTTCTCTCTCCCTTTCTCTCTGAAATCGATAAAATATATATATATTTAAATATATTTTATTGATTTTTTACAGAGAGGAAAGGAGAGGGATAGAGAGTTAGAAACATCGATGAGAGAGAAACATCGATCAGCTGCTTCCTGCACACCCCCCGCTGGGGATGTGCCCGCAACCAAGGTACATGCCCTTGACCGGAATCGAATCTGGGACCTCTCAGTCCGAAGGCCAACACTCTATCCACTGAGCCAAACCGGTTAGGGAAAAAAAAAAATTATATATATATATATGGAATATAAAAAAGGTATAAATATCCAGGATATGATTAAGAAAATGATAACCAAGCTAAAATAGAAAAGGGGGAAATAATAAACAATTTATAAAGTAAGAAAGAAAACTAAGATTTTTACTCACCTTTAAGATGGCAAAGCTTAAAGGATTGATAAGGTGGTGAGAAAATAGGCATTCTGATAGATTTAGCTTGTCTGTCTTTTTTTCTTTTTTTTTTTTTTTTTACATGTGAAGTGAGAGTGAGATGTATGTCCACAATCTATAGCTTTCAGAGTATTAATAAAATAGTTCCCTGTTCAAAAACATGTATATTAGTATACTAAATAAAAATCAGCCATTCGCTTTAAATAGGAGTTCTTGAGGGAGCACGGATAGGAGTCGGTAAAGTGTGTTCATGACTAGAACATTTTTGGACAACAATCTGGAATTTTTCATTCTCTTTTACTTAACAATTCCGATATTAATAATTTCTTCACTAGAAACTATAAATGTGAAAAGATGTGAGATAAAGACTGCACAGAAATTTCTACCAAAAATATTTCTGTTTTTCTATTTTCCCCACGTCACAAACCTTCACCCTCCCTCTTACCTCTGATCCTCCCCTAGCTCTCTCGCCTTCTGCCCAGAGGTGTCACCTAACCTTCACCACCAATTCTGGCTGAAGAAGATACTTTCATTCAACTAGGTTTGTTTCCTCTGTGCCCACAGGAGGCACCCCGCCTTCCTACCACCACCTTGGCTTTTCCAAACCCTATTCTGTTCTCCAAAAGCATCCCTGCCAGTGGCTCTACCTGCTCCCAGCTCCCCAAAGGACGCCTCCCTGTCCTGTAGGACACGTGACCTTTTCCAAGATGGCTGCGCCCACTGTAAAGTGCGTGCGGGTGTGTGTGGGGGGGAAGAGGGGAGGAAGCTTCTGTACGAACCAGCAGAAAGCGGAGGCGGCCATATTTATCCTCCTGCGCCTCGCGGAAAGGTGACGGGACGCGGTTCCGCGGAAACGGGTTAGAAAGGGTGCGTCACCCCTTGTGACGTAACGATGGACGTCATGACGCTTGCGAGGGACGTTCCGCGGACACCTGCTGCAGGAAAGGCGGTTGTACGGCAGGTCTTCCATGATGGCGGCCCTCACAAAAATCCCCTAACGGGCGCCGCCATACTTCGTCGTAGTGTCTTCGTCTCAAAGCCCTTAAAGCGGGAACAGAATCTTCGTCTTGGAAGGTCGCCCCGGGGGTGGTTGGCAGCCTGCAGACTCTGATGTCAGGGAAGTTACACCTGACCAGTGAGGTGAGTCTGAGGCAGAAGTGAGGGACCATGGCCCTTCCCACCCAGGTGGTGCGGGAAGGATCTATTAAGCGGGGGTGGGGGTGGTGTGTGTGTGTGTGAGTGTGTGTGTGTGTGTTTGTGTCTCAGTTTGGTGTTTAGGGTTTGTGTGGAGATTTGGGGTTTGTGGTAGGGGAGGCCTGTGGGGAGCTCTTTAGAGGAGCAAGCCATACGGGGAATGCATTTCATGATTGAGGGGCAGGATGGTGAGAAATGGTGCGGGCCCGGGGATGGTCAGGGATTGGAGTTGCTCGGGTTAGCCTTTGTTCAGGGAGGTCAGTGACTGGGAAATCTTGAGGCAAGTGATTAGCATGACCTAGGGGTTGGGTGCACTTGGGTGTTGGGGGGGAGTTCATTGACTGGGGGTGAATGTCAGGAGGTCACTGATTCGGGTGTCCATGAAGGAAGTCAGGAATTGGCCTGTGAGAATGTCTGAAGATCAGTTCTTAGGATGGCCTTGGGGACTGGAGCATCCCTGGAGGAAGGTCAGGGACTGGGGAATCATTGGGATTTAAGTCAGTGATTGTGAGGGTTTGCTAATGGGAGTGTCCATAGGGGGAGGCCAGTGACCACCTTGGTAAGCAGATCAGTAGGGTTTTTTTTTTAGTCCTCACCGGAAGATATGTTTTCATTGATTTTGAGAGAGAGACAGAAAGAAACATGGATGTGAGAGAGAAACATCGAGCTCAGTAGGCGTGGCTCAGTGGTTGAGTGTCGACTTAACAACCAGGAGGTCACGGCTCCATTCCCGGTCTGGGCACATGCCCGGGTTGCGGGCTTGATCCCCAGTGTGGGGCGTGCAGGAGGCAGCCCATCAATGATTCTCATTATTGATGTTTCAATCTTTCTCCCCCTATCCCTTCCTCTCTGAAATCAATATATATATATATATATACATATATATATGTATATGTATGTATATGTATATGTATATGTATATATTTATTTATTTATTTTCGCACTGTTTCAACAACCCAGAAGCTTTCCAACTTAAATTTTTGGGATTTTTGTGGAGGCTTCCCCATGCACTTCTCCCTTCTCAGGAGAATGGGGTGTGGGTCTAAAGATTCCAGGCGTCTGATCACATCTTGGTCTTTCTGGTGACCAGCCCCCAACCAGGAGCCCACTCAGAGTTGCCTCATTAGAACAAAGACACTCATGTTGTTCTTATCACATAGGAACTTACGTGATAAGGATTTCAGGAGCCCTGTGTCAGATACCAGGGGCAGGGACCAATATATATATTTTCTATTATCTCATACCTTCCCTTTCAATAAATAAACACTCATATTAACAGGACTGTTATTACAGGAATTGCTGATACTGGAGGATGTGGCCGTGGACTTCACCTGGGAAGAGTGGCAGCTCCTGGACTCTGAGCAGAAGGACCTGTACAGGGACATGATGATGGAGACCTACAGCCACCCGGTGTCAGTGGGTGAGGACAGCTCCCCTGTGTCACTCAGAAAGCCCAGTCAGTGGCCTTTCTCATCTTCTGAAAGCTCTGGGCTGTGATACTTAGTCTCCTCCCTGGACTCAGATGAGAAGGTATAATTTCTCTTCATCTTAGAGGGAAGCCTTTAATTTGCAAACATGCAAATTGTGCAGTCCCTAAATGTACCATTCTCCTAGCATCACAGATTCCCAATTCAATCTGATGGGCCTAAGTCTTCCATCATTTCCCATGACTAGGGTATCAAGTCAGCAAACCAGAGGCTCTCTCCAGATTGGAACAAGGAGAAACACTGTGGACATTAGAAGATGAAATCCACAGTCAAACCCACCCAGGTGAGTGAAAGAACTAGCAAGAAGGAAAGGCTGCCCTAACCAGTTTGGCACAGTGGATAGAGCGTCGGCCTGCAGACTTAAGGGTCCCAGGTTCGATTCCCGTCAAGGGCATGTACCTTGGTTGTGGGCACATCTCCAGTGAGGAGTGTGCAGGAGGCAGCTGATCGATGTTTCTAACTCTCTATTCCTCTCCCTTCCTCTCTGTAAAAAATCAATAAAATATATTAAAAAAAAAAAAAAAGAAGGAAAGGCTGTGGAAATCACTGTCTAGTCCAGCGGTTCTCAACCTGTGGGTCGTGACCCCTTTGGGGGTCAAATGACCCTTTCACAGGGGTCGCCTAAGACCATCAGAAAACACATATATAATTACATATTGTTTTTGTGATTAATCACTATGCTTTAATTATGTTCAATTTGTAACAATGAAATTGGGGGTCACCACAGTTAAAGGGTCGCGGCATTAGGAAGGTTGAGAACCACTGATCTAGTCGTTTAGAGAAGGTGTCACAGTGGTGAGGGTGTCTGAGGCTATAGAAACAACTAGTGTGTGTCCCTGTCCCCACTCAAGAGCTCTTCTATGTAGGAATCTAGAGGAAAACTTACCCCTTTATCTTTTGGAACTTATCCTTATTTATTTCTTCTTAGATGTCACCTCCCCTCCCCCATGACTGGAATTGAAACCAGGACCTTTCAGTCCTCAGGCTGACACTGTATCCACTTAGCCAAACTGGCTAGGGTCTGGTACAGAAGATTCAGTTGGAGAGGGTGAACTCGTTCCAGAGATGGATGGTGGCACTGGTTGCACAACAAAGTGAATGTACATATTAAAAAAAAAAAAGTGAATGTACATAATGCCATAGCACTGTACACTTTCAGATGGTTAAAATGGTCTATTTTATCTTATGTATACACTAGAGGCCCAGTGCACGAATTCATGCATGGGTGGGGTCCCTCGGCCTGGCCAGAGATCAAGGCCTATTGGGGGGGAGGGCTGGCCCAGGGGAGGGACTCCGGGAGGTTGGCCATGCCTGCCCCCGATCGGGGGATGGGGGGAGGCAATCGAGGGCGGGGCCAGCCAGGGGAAGGCCTATCAGGGCCCAGATCAGGCTGGTTGGCTGCCGCAGTACATGTCATAGCGACGGGTCATCCCGCCATTTGGTCGCTGGGCTTTTATATATATAGAAGATATATTATTAAATATATATTAAATATATTTTTATTGATTTCAGAGAGAAAGGGAAAGGGAGAGAGAGAGATAGAAAACATCAATGATGAGAGAGAATCATTGATGGGCTGCCTCCTACACACCCCCCACTGGGGATCGAGCCCACAGCCCAAGCATGTGCCCTTGACCAGAATCGAACCTGGGACCCTTCAATCTGCATGCAGACTGACGCTCTACCCACTGAGCCAAACCAGCGAGGTCTATCTTATGTATATTTAACTGAAAGTTAAAAAAAAAAAAAAGATTAGGCACATTTATACTTAGAACTTCTATATTAATATCATACGTTTTCTACTAAAGTGTCAGCCCTCCTCAGGTGTTTTTGCAAAAACTTTATTCCATATGATGCTCATGGAAGCATTCACGGTTCTCTTCTTTCCTAGAAATTGAGGAAATTGATCATCTGCAGTGGCACTTGCAAAACTAAAATATGCTGAAGGCAATGGAACAGCATGCATTTGGAAGTATTGTTCTGCAGAGCTAAAGTCATTTTCCTTTAAGGCCAAACGATATGTTTGATTTAGATGGGAAAACTTTGAAATCATATTTAGATTTAATCTACCAGAGTAGAAGCTGTGACATAAGGGAGCCTGCTGAGTTTAATGGAGATGGAAGATCCTTTCTCCATGCAAATCACGAGCAAACTCATACTGAAATGAAATTCCACAAAAGTAGCAAGCCCATCAGGACTAAGTCACAGTCTCTTAAAATTCAGGAAACACACAGAATAGAGAATGCCTATGAATGTACTGAAAGTGGGAAAGCCATCCTCAAGAAGCCTCAGCTCATGGAACATAAGAGAATTCATACGGGAAAGAAACCCCATGGATGCAGTGTCTGGGAAAACCTTTTCCAAGAAGTTCAAGCTCACTGAACATCAGCACGCTCACAGTGGAGAGAAACCTCATGCGTGCAAACCTCATGCATGCAAACCTCATGCATGCAGCGAGTGTGGGAAAGCCTTTCTCAGGAGATTTCAACTTACTGAACATCAAAAGAGTCAAACAGGAAATAAACCCCATGTGTGCAGGATGTGTGGGAAAGCTCTCTGTAAAGTGTTTCTAGCTCTCTGTAAAAAGACAGTAAAATATATTTTAAAAAATAATGAACCCTTCTGCATGGCTGTATGAGCATAGAGAGAAACGTGACCGGATGACTACTCTGAGTAACTTTAAGCTCACGGGTGTGGGGTCCCCTCCCCAGAAAGGTAGTATTTGTTCTCAGAAAGGGGAGTTCTGAGGGCCTGAGAGTCCCTATCAGCATTGGGAATATTGGAGCAAATATTTCCATGACTAGTCCTGTCGCACTGAGTTCCAACTTCCCGACCTTCAGGCTCTTTTCGGAACCGCCTTTCCCTGTAAATCCTCTGAGAATGACTTTTGGTGACTTGGTTGTGGCTATTCAGGATACACAGGATCTTTTTTTTTTTTTTTAATGTATCTCCGTTTATCTTGCAACACAAGACGCAAGTAATATCTTCTTGTCGTGCATTGTCGTTGCCATTATTTTTGCCCCAGTTCCTTACACCCTCCCTGTCTCTCATCACAAAGCGCACGAACAGACGCTCTGAGCCCTCCTGCCACCTCTGCTCTGCACCCAGTTCTAGTCTCCTCATCCCCATTCCCGCCCCCAACACGTTGCAGCGGTTCTCAACCTGTGGGTCGCGACCCCTTTGGCGGTCCATTGACCCTTCACAGGGGTCGCCAAAGACCATCCTGCATATCAGATATTTACATTACGATTCATAACAGTAGTAACATTACAGTTATGAAGTAGCAACGAAAATAATTTTATGGTTGGGTCACAACATGAGGAACTGTATTTAAAGGGCCAGAAGGTTGAGAACCACTGGAGTTACCGGTATCTTCTCCGTAAACGTTCCCCGATTCTTTGCTCCCAGCCGGTTCGTTACTGTACTGACCCGAACGTTCCCAATATGACGGAGATGCCAATATCACCGAGTCCGCCCTGCGTTTTCCAAAGTGGCTACGCCGCGACGTGGGCCCGGCCCTTTTCTGCGAAGGCCCGACCTGTGATTGGCTTAGCTCTCGGGTCTGTTCGGAAGACTTCGGCGGCCAGTGACAGGCTACTGAGCATGCGCAACGAGGCTAACAGCCGCTGGAATGGCCCTCTCACTCTCCGTACGGAGCTTACTCCAAAATGGCGGCGCCCAGTCGAAGATGGCTGCTCTCAGCACAGGGTAACGGGACTGTGAGCGGCCATATTGCCCAGAGGGTATTTTCCACCGGGACCAGAATCGGCGTTTGTAGGTAGATCGCTCACTTCCAGGGTGTTATGGAGGCAGTGTCATAGCGCGAAACTAGCACCAGCCAACAGGGGAGGGGAAGCGGAAGTGGCGCGTCCCCCAGGTAAGGTCACATTTCTCACTCGAGGTCGCGTTCTATTTCTGGAGGCGGTGTCTGGAACGATTCAGCGCCGTGGGAATTCCGTGACGTCAGACGTGCTTTGTGGCGGTTATTAGGGGCGGGGCGAAAGGTGTCTGTCTGGCGGCTTCGTCCTTCTGGAGGTGGCGAGCTTGCCGGGCTTCAGCGTTGAGGGGAGCGGTTTGCGGAAGCGACGGGAGAGAGTGAGTGACGGGTCTGAGGCGGGTCGTGGAGAGGGAGGTGGGATGGTCCCTGACCGCGGGGTGTGGTGGATGGTGGATGAGGACAGGGGTTGGGGGTCAGTCGCCTGGGGTTCTCGTGGCCGGAGCTGCAGCATCCGGGGGGCCGTGGTCCTCGTGGAAGTCGGTGCCCGTGGAGCCGTGAATGGGCGCGTCGCCACGTGCGGGGTGGGAGCCGGTAGGGACCCTCGGGAGAGGCTGGTGGGGTTGGGACGTCAGGAGGCTTCAGGTGGACACACATTTGGGTGTGTCCTAAACATCGGGGTGTTGTTCCCCAACGCTTTAGTCCGAAAAATGTCAAGATACAGGAAAGTCAGAATAGCAAAATGACCACCTTTATACCTGCCATTTATTTAGGTCCATGAATTGTTAAAATCGTGCTGTAAACTTTTGCGTGTCAGTCGGTGTACACACACATCTTGAAAGTACGTTAGTTCTTGGTTTTATGCCAATTCTGCTACTTGTTTGTGTGACTGGGTAACTTCTAAGACTTCGTTTTTCCGCTTAAATCATATCTACTTTACAGGTCCTCAGGAGCCCCACCTCCATGACCTCACAAAGGGCCCATTTCCAAATAACATCAAATTGAGGATCAGTGTTGCAACATACGAATTTGTGGCGCACAATAATACAGGTAGGTACTTGACAAAAAATAGCTATTCAAGTATATACCTTTTTAGTGGGAGTTTTTCTATTTATAATAATTTTATTAACTTTTTGTAATACGTATTCTACATATTCTCTACATGAGTTTATGTTTGAAATTAAATGGAGATCACTACTTTTTATCACATTATCATTAGATGCTTGTCATCAATAAAACAGAATAAGAATCACCTTCAATTTACTAACTTTAAGCTATCTGTAATGTTTTGAAATATATTTTCAAACTGAATTATGTATTATGGATTTTTAAAAATTGGTTTTAGAAAGGGAGGAAGGGAGAGAGAAACATCGATGTCAGAGAGATATATCAATTAGTTGCCTCCTGCACGTGGATCGAATCTGAAACGCAGGTATATGCCCTGACCAGGAATTGAACTGGCAACCTTCTGTTGCAGGGGATGGAGCTCCAAAAAACTGAGCCACACTGGCCAGAGCTGGATATTTTTTTAAATAATTTATAAAAGTAGGTCAGATTAAATGCATATTTCAAAGGCTTCTGATTTAGTTTTATCAAACTTACCCAATAACATTCTATTATGTAATGATTCCACATACAGTATACCAGGTTTTTCTGTATGTTTAGTGAGAGTGGGTATACCATCCTTCTGTTTATTTTCTAAGATGATAGCCCCATTTTGGCTTGTTGACCATCTTTTGGGTATAAAAGGTGCCTCATTGTGGTCTCTATATGCACTGCTCTCATTACTAACATGGTTGATCTTTTTTTTTTTTACATGTTCATTGGCCTATTTTAAACTTGAGATGCTTGTTTTTTCTTTACTGATTTTTAAAATGTTTTTGTTGACTTTGAGAGAGAGAGAAAGGTAGAGGGCTAGAGAGATAGAAACATCAATGAGACATCCGTCTGCTCCCTTCACACACCCACTACTGGGGATGGAGCCTGCAACCCGAGCATGTGGCCTGACTGAGAATTGAACTGGTGACCTCTTGGTTCCTGGGTCTACGCTCAACCACTGTTCTACACCAGCCTGGCTCTTTACTGATTTATAGAAACAGTAACGTATTTGGAATAGTAGTATTTAAAAAAATTTTTTTGATTGATTTGAGAGAGAAACATCGATTTGTTGTTCCACTTATTTATGCATTCATTGGTTGATTCTTGTCTGTGCCCTTACCAAGGATTGAACCTGGAATCTGGGCATATTGGGATGATGCTCCAACCAACTGAGCTACCTGGCCCGGACCTGGAGTAATAGTCTTTTGTTACTTATTTTGTATTTAACAATTGGCTGGCCTTTGTCCCCAGTTCTTGAGAGGTGGCCTCTAAATTGTTGGAATGTCCTGAGTGATAGGAGTGTCTGTGTATTCATGGTGGGACCTGATAGTTTGTGCTGAGGTGACACCTGGTGGGTGCATAGCTATAGATAGTTTCGATGGGGCTGTTTATGCCCAAAACACCAATCACGGTGATTAGAGATTTGGGGTTTTGAGCCAGGTAATATCAGTCCAACCTCCAGGAGAATAGGATGGCTGGAGGATGAGTCACATGGCAGTGATTATTTAATCATGTTTATTTAATGAAACTAATAAATACCATAGACATTTGAAACGTGAGCTTCTTTGGTTGGGAATAGCCTGCATACTGTTACACACAGATATGCTGGATGAGTCATGTGTCCTGGCCCCAAAGAGGAAGGACAGTGGAAGCTTCTGGTTTGGGATCCTTTCATACCTCACTCTGTTTGTGTCTCTCAGTTAGAGTGGTTAGGATCTGTATCCTTTTGCTACAAGAAAACTGTCATTTTGTACATTTTTCCCTCCCGGTACCTAATAGGTTTTTTGGTTATCATAAATAATGCGTTTTTTTCTTTTAAATACTTTTGTGTTTGAATATGACATTTCAGTGAATTTTTTTATTGATCTTAAAGCAATTCCATAATGGCAGTTTTGTTTGTTCTTTTGCAGTTTTCATTTCTTCAATTAATTTTTCCCATATTACTGGTCAGGGTTTGATTTGTGGTACATTTTTGTATGTGTGCTGCCGTAGTGAGCACATGGTACATTTTTGGGTAAAGATTTTCAGAGTGGTTATCATTGTTACGTCCCTAAGCTTAAAGTAATGGTATGGAATTTTTGTAGATACTGTTTAGCAAATTAACAAAGTTCTTGTCTATTTCTAGTTGAGTAAGATTTTTAAAAATTGTGAGTGGGTATACTATTTTATTACCTGTCTTTTCTTCATCTACTGAGATGGTTCTTATTACACTATCCTTACAATCCTGAAATGAAGTCAGCTGTGCATTGTATAATGCTTTCTATATATCAGTGGATATGGTTTCCTAATATTTCATTTAGGGTTTTTATAGCCAAGTTCATAAATGAGATTGGCCTATAAATTTCTCTTTCATATTGTCCTTAAATTTAGGTCTGTTCTCTTAAGTTCTTTTGCTTCTTTGCATGTCTGGTAATTTTTTTAAAAAATCTTATTTTTTTAATTGATATTTTTAGAGAAACTAAGGGAAGGAGACAGAGACAGATTTGTTCCACTTATTTATGCATTCATCGGTTGCTTCTTTTTAAAAAAATATATTTTATTGATTTTTTACAGAGAGGAAGGGAGAGGGATAGAGAGTTAGAAACATCGATGAGAGAGAAACATCGATCAGCTGCCTCCTGCACACCCCTAACTGGGGATGTGCCCGCAACCAAGGTATATGCCCTTGACCGGAATCGAACCTGGGACCTTTCAGTCCGCAGGCCAACGCTCTATCCACTGAGCCAAACCGGTTAAACCCTTTTAACTACTTTTGATGTTTGCTCTGGGTCATAGTTAAGTTACTTCGAAATAGTTTGATTCTTTCTTTTTTGAATTTTTATGAGTTTCTTTCAGCCATACTGATGACAGACGTAAAGGAGCAAGATCAGTACTCCTGATAATATTGCAGCTCAGTTGGATTCTTTGGAGGCGTTCTTTTAGCTTTGTTAGGTGGGGCCAAAACAGTCTTTTGTGTAGGGTTACTTTGCCCCTGCTACTGAGGCAATCTCCTCAACCCCCGCCCTACCCCACCCTCCATGTATTAGAAGGTCTTTTCACCCTGGCTAGTGAAAACACAGACTATTTCTGATCTTGTGTGAGCTCTAGGAATTGTTATGCCTTCTCCTTTCAATGGTCTTGGTAGTTTCTTTTTTGTTGTTGTTTTTTTTGTTTTGTTAATCCTCACCCGAGGATATTTTTCCACTGATTTTTAGGGAGAGTGGGAGAGGGAAAGACAGAGAGAAACATCGATGTGAGAGAAACACATTGATTGGTTGCCTCCTGCATGAGCCCCGACCAGGGCCCAAGAAGCTGGGGAGCCTGCAACCAAGCTACGTGCCCTTGACCAGAATTGAACCCAGGACCCTGTAGTCCGAAGGCCAGTGCTCTATCCACTGAGCAAAACTGGCTAGGGCCTTGGTAGTTTCTTCACAGTTCATTAGTAGTTAGCCAGAGACATAGGGGGACCATCTGCACACCTAAAGAATGAGTTTTCAGTTTTCTCTCTCTCTCTCCCTCTTCCTTCATCTACTTCATCTACTGAGATGGTTCTTATTACACTATCCTTACATTCCTGAAATGAAGTCGGCTGTGCATTATATAATGCTTTCTGTATATCAGTGTATATGGTTTCTCCTTTTTTTCTCTCTCCCTCCCTCCCTCTCTCTCCCTTTACCCTGATGTTCTGCTGCAAACTTACCATCTTTGCTTCCTCAGACTTTGAATTGTGTCATTAACTCAACAAGACTGCCAGACTTTTTGGGGGTTCCTTCTCCCTGTGTTATGGCCTGGAAAGTCTCTCCAGCATACAAAGAGGGTTTGTTTGTTTCTCCTCTTCTCTGATTTCTATGTCTGAAAATAGCTGTTCCAGATATTTTCCTTAATTTTATTTATTTATTTTTTCCCTAATTTTAAAAAGTTGGTTAAGATCAAGGATGATTCTTGCAATTCACCCTGGGATCAGAGGATTTACTGATAATGAGGGTTTGTGTTTTATCCTTGCTCCATGAGTTACTAGTTGTGTGGCTTTTAGCTAGGTGCTTGACCTTTTCTTTCTTGGTTTTCTCTGAAGTGGAATAATTATAGTCTGTATCTTATAGGGTTATTGTGAGGGTTAAGTGAGAAAACATCCTTAAAATAGTTCCTTGCTTGTTTAGGAACTTGCTTTTATTATCATTTTCACGCCACACAAATCTTTCCTTGACTCCATAGATGCTGGCTTCCTAGAATGAGGCAGCTTCTGTAAATGAAAAAAGGTAGATCTCAAGTCCAGAAATTACTCCCTGCAGAGGCTACCCTTGAGGAGAGACACCAGTATCAGGATTTCAGGGAAGATACTGAAAGTGGTGGCCACTTCCTGAAAGCTGTTGAAATGACTAAGTCCCAGGTGAGCTTGTTATTTCCCACTTTGTTATCTAGATTTCTGGAAGTTTATAAAAATGTGTACCATCAAAGAGAACAACATATATAGACACGTTGTGGCTGGGAGACATGTGCGTGGATTGGGAGACAGAATAAATGATTCAGAGTAGCCATCAGGAAGGAAGATTTATCTGTGAATCTTGCAAAGTGCTAATAATTAGAACATTGCCACATCAGCAGTAGGATCCAGAACTGAGTTGCAGATTTTCCTGTGGTAATACTGGAAACCTTCACAAGAGAATAAAAACATGTTACAAGATTTACTTTGTACATATGGAGGAAGCACATGTATTCCTTGAGATCAGTAAATATTTCCTGACATTAAGTGTGAAGAAATGTCTTTGATGGGTCTTCCTCTTCCATTTTTCTTATCTGGAATGTAGACCCTGTTATCTTCCTAAGGAAATGTGGGAGATATAAAAGGCACAGCTCGAAAACTGTAAAAGCCTCTTACCTATAAAACGTAGATAATAACAGAGCTTACATAAGGGCTGTTATACAGATCATTGTGTTAATATTTGTAAAATGTTTAGAATGATGCACAGCACATAGTAAGAACTCTGTTTGCTTGTAAATATGATTTAATATGTAGCACAATCAATTTCTAACAGGCAGTTCTGAGCATAGCATACTTTTGCATATGAACAGCAATGCGGTGACTACCAGTGTCTGTAGGAAATATTGCTCCAAGACCCGTTTCTGCTAGTTACCTAGCCATCTGTTCTCACCAGCTTCTTCTCCTGTCTCACTGACCTATTTGCAGTTCCTTGAACCTAAATAGATTAGAAGTTGTATGACATAGGGCCTTGCTTCATTTCCAGTTTTTATTGTAAAACACATAGTAGGTAATATTCAATGCTCCTAACGTGGTTGCAGATGATTTTTATGTAATTCAAAGTTTTAACCTTTTATGTTGGGTGAATGAATGAATGAAGAATGCACAAAGGGAGGACAGTTTTTAATTAATTCAGCTCAAAAGTGTAAATCAAAATTAGAAATATTTATGAGTTTGCATAGTATAAATAATCAGAATATCCTATAATTATTTTATATATTTTTTTATATTAACTCCAGACTAAAAAGGATTGTGTTATAACAGGGCATATTGTCGTTCAGTGATGTGGCTGTATATTTCACCTGGGAAGAGTGGCGGCTACTAGACACTGCTCAGAAGAATCTCTACCGGGATGTGATGTTAGAAAACCATAGCAACCTAATGTCATTGGGTAAAGACAACTTTCCTAAACATCTCAGCAAAGGCCCATGAATTGCCTGTCTTTTCTCCATTGCTACAATGTATGGATACTCATATTCTCAGTGATTTTGAACTTGGACTTATATAGGACTTATTTTAAATTAGAACTTATTTTTTTTATGACCAGAGAATGACAGTACTTACTTTTATTTCCAAATGAAAAGTTTCTATTTTGCTGAGATTTAAACTATACATTCTCTGAAACAGGACTTTTCCTCAGCTCTCTGTGATTACTTGATAGGTTATCAAGCTACCAAGCCAGAAGCAATGATCTACTTGGAAAAAGGAGAAGAACGAGGAATAGTAGAGAGAAAATTTCCAAATCATTTTAATCCAGGTAAGTGAAATCAAAGTAATAGTTGGTTATTGGTGTGGGACCCTTGTTATTTTAATATTTTTTTTCTCAGAGTCTCTGAACCTTTAGAGGTTAGAGTAAAAAAAAGGTATTTTATATGAATTTTTCCTGCTTCTCTTACCACCCTTCCATATATGACTATTTTTCTAGCCACCTAGGAGGTGCAACTCTTTTATCTACCCTGGGTCAGATCTTTGCCTATTTCATCTGGTCTTTTCTTATTTGCTTAGTTGTTTTTCTACTGAAGCTTAGTAGGCACAACCAGCCTCCTCCACCTCTTATCTATATTCATATAACTCTTATATGACGCTTTCAAATATTCCTAGGTTGTTGCCAAGTTTGATGACACCCATGTTTTCCAGTGCATTATGTATTACCGGTTCTTTTATTGAATGCCTCAGACTTATATTGTGCACCTGCTATATAGACTTCTTCATTCTCTTTGACTAGTGACTTGAGATTTCATCACCCTCCATGTTATGATAATGGTAGAATTCATTGTTTTTTTTTCCCCCTAGAAATAATGTGGCAAGTTTATGATTGGTATCAGGAGGACACTGAGAAGGATGAACCTGCGGAGAAAGATCATGAAAATTATGCATTGGGCAAAATACTTTCTCTTAGCCAAAACTTTGTTCCATTTAAAGAAAAATCCTATAAATGTATCTCAAGAGAAATAACTTTGGAACAAAATTCAGATTCAAATTTTCAGAGTAAAAACTATGCGGACATGAACTCTGATAAGTCAAATGGTTCTGGGAAATCATTTTTCCATACTCTACATGAAACCTCTCACATTCATCCCCAGTACTATGAACCAAATTTGCATGTGAAGGTTTTCAGTCTGGTGACAAATCCTAAAAGACATCGCAGAATTCACACAGAGGGGAAACATTATGAATGCAGCGAATGTCCAAAGTCTTTCAGGTATAAGTCAAAGCTCATAATACACCAGAGAACTCACACGGGAGAGAAACCCTACGAATGCAAGGAATGTGGGAAAGCTTACAGTGAGAAGACTAAGCTCAGGTTACATTGCAGAACACACACAGGAGAGAAACCTTTTGAGTGTAGTGATTGTGGGAAAGGTTTTATGCAGAAGTCAAACCTGATTATCCATCAACGAACTCATACAGGAGATAAGCCCTATGAGTGTAAAGAATGTGGAAAGGCATTCTGTAGTAAGTCTCAGCTTGTTGTTCACCAGAGAATTCATACAGAAAAATCCTATGAATGCAGGAAATGTGGAAAAGCCTTCACTAAAAACTCACACCTCCTAACACATCAGAGAACTCACACAGGAGAGAAACGTTACGCATGCTGTGAATGTGGAAAAGCTTTTGTATATGCATCACAGCTCATTGTACATGAGAGAAATCATACCGGAAGAAAACCTTATGAATGTAAGGAATGTGGGAAATCTTTTAACAAAAAGTCACACCTCATGAGACATCAGAGAATCCATACAGGAGAGAAGCCATATGAATGCAGTGAATGTGGAAAAGCTTTTATAGACAACTCACATCTTATTGTTCATCGAAGAACTCATACAGGTGAGAAGCCTTATGAATGCAGGGAATGTGGGAAAGCCTTTAATAAAAAGTCATCCCTCATAACACATCACAGAATTCATACAGGAGATAAGCCTTATGAATGCACTGAATGTAAAAAAGCCTTTATAGACAGGTCACATCTCATTGTCCATCAGAGAACTCATACGGGAGAGAAACCCTACGAATGCAGTGAATGTGGGAAAGCTTTTATAGACAACTCACAGCTTATTGTTCATCAAAGAATTCATACAGGAGAGAAGCCTTTTGCGTGCAGGGAATGTAGAAAAGCCTTTAGTTATAAGTCATCCTTCATAGCACATCAGAGAATTCATACAGGAGAAAGGCCTTACGAATGCACTGAATGTAGAAAAGCTTTTATATACAAGTCACATCTCATTGTCCATCAGAGAACTCATACAGGAGAGAAACCCTACAAATGCAGTGAATGTGGAAAAGCTTTTGTACGAAAGTCAGTGCTCATTGTACATCAGAGAACACATACAAGGGAGAAACCCTTTGTCTGCCTTGAGTGTCGAAAAGCCTTTAGCAGTATGGCAATGCTCAGTACACATCAGCTGATTCATACAGGAGAGAGGCCCCATGGATGCAGTGAATGTGGAAAAGCTTTCCGCCAAAAAAGCCATCTTATTATCCATCAACGATGCCATAGTGGTGAGAAATACTATGGATGCATTCCATCTAGTGAGACCTTCAGCTAGAATTTACAGCTCATTAGGCATCAGAGATGTCACACAGGAGAAAAACCCTATCAGTATACTCTGTGTGAGAAAGCCTTTTTGTGTGAAATCATACAGCAGTGTCCATCAGAGAGGTCATGCAGGACAAAAACCTTACCAATGTAATGAGTGTGGGAATACTTTGTCAAGTTCTTTCTCACTTCACATGAAATTCATACAGAAAAAAAATCTATGAAACACATTAACTGCTGGGAGATGTTAGCGAGATGTCAAATCTCACTGAATATAAAAAAATCACAGAGGCACACTACGAATGTGGTGAAGGAATATTTTTCTATTACTTTTGACCTCTGCAAGTTTCAGAAAACTTAATCAGGAGAGAAATCTTTTAAATGCAGTGAATATAGGAAAATTATTTGCCACCACCTTAGCCTCATATTTTATTAGAGAAAGGCAATATGTATGCATGAGTTGAAAAGTCAAAATCATTTTTTTTTTTTTTTGGTTAATCCTCACCTGAGGAAATTTTTCCATTGATTTTTAGGGAGAGTGGAAGAGAGAGGGATAGACAGAAACATCGATGTGAAAGAAACATTGATTGGTTGCCCCCTGCATGAGCCCTGACCAGGGCCCAGGCCGGGAGGAGGCTGCAACCAAGGTACGTGCCCTTAACTGAAATTGAACTTGGGACCCTTTGGTCTGCAGGCTGATGCTCTATCCACTGAGCCAAACTGGCTAGGGCTAAAATAACTTCTTAAGAAAAATCCCATTATACACCACACAGAAATGAAAACTTTTTGAGTGCACAAAAGGTTTTGATAGGTCATCATACAATTTTCAGTTTTTACAGGAAAAAATCAATGTTGTGAATCCTGGAATATCTTCCAAACAAATGAATTTTCATACCAAAGAATGCAGATGACTGAAGACTGTAATAAGAGATGCCTCTGGCATTTAATCCAAACTTATTGTGCATCAGATATTTATTAAGGAGAGTTAATATAGTATAATAATGGTTGGAAAGATTGTTTATGTAAACAACTTTATAATAGAAGTTCTGATCCTGTATAGAACATGTACTACAAAGTAGTCAGTTATGAAGATCAGATAACTCCAGCATGCAAAATAACACTTTATGTTCGGATATATTGGATAGTCAAAGCAGTAAATTAAGGAAGCTCATCGATGTATGTATTTGCTTTATTTCTGAGTATTTTTGTACAACATGTATATACTCATTTCCAGATTTCACAAGTTGTGTACCACAAAATTCTTGTTAAAGTTTGTATGTGTAGTATCCACCAAAAAAATGCCAACATTGTAAATTTTTGTACATCATATAAATTGCAAAGGAAGTAATTAGGCTTAAGATTGAAGAAGACTGTAACATAATGCCATACACACAATGCCATATTTACTGTTTACTGGTATATGTAAATGGAACTGGTATTTCTTTTCAGCCCTTTGGAATAATAAATTTTTAAAAATTGTTATTTGGTTTTCACATAGGGAGAAACACTCATTAAAAATAATTGAGATTTAAGAGTGATGAGTAATCACAAATTTTCTTTCCTGAACTGAGTCCTGAAAAACTGCAAGCAGCTATTTTTAAAGAAATTAAGACTAAAATGTCACCTTTTTTGGTGGTGTTGCTCATATGAGGAATGTGGCTTAGAACATGAAACCTAGTTTATTAGTTTCCTAGGGCTACTATAAGTACTATAAGCAGAGTGGCTTAAAACAAAAGAAAGTTCTGGAGGCTAGAAGTCCAAAATCAGGGTGTCATTAGGGTCATGCTTCCTCTTAAACCGTTTGGGGAATCCTTTTTTTTTTCCCTTTTTCTTTTTTTTAATATATTTTATTGATTTTTTTTTTTTTTACAGAGAGGAAGGGAGAGAGATAGAGAGTTAGAAACATCGATGAGAGAGAAACATCAACCAGCTGCCTCCTGCACATCTCCCACTGGGGACGTGCCCGCAACCAAGGTACATGCCCTTGACCGGAATCGAACCTGGGACCCTTCAGTCCACAGGCCAACGCTCTATCCACTGAGCCAAACCAGTTACGGCTGGGGAATCCTTTCTTGCGTCCCAGCTTCTGGTGACTTGCTGGCAATTTTTGGCATTCCTTAACTTGCAGCTGCATGAATCTGATCTCTGGCTTCGTCATCACCTGGCATTTTGCCTATATGCCTCTGTGTCTTCATTTGACCATCTTATAAAAACACCAGTCATTGGATTTGGGACCCACCCTAGTCCATTATGACTTCATCTTAACTAATTACATCTGCAACTACATTATTTCCAAATGCAGTCACATTGTGAGGTAATGGAGGTTAGGACTTAAACATACTTTTGGAGGGAAGGTATACTGGTTCTGGTACCAGTTTCAATGTGTGTTTTCCTGGGGGATGAGGGTAGTTTTCCACACCAACAAACTATTCTCAGACACCAGCGGGTGCCCAAGAATTCAGCTCTTTTCTGACACTCTCTACCTGGAGACAGCATCAATTTCACAGGTTAAGGGTTCTGTTCCACAAGACTGCCCCCTCCCTTCAGATGGCAGCAATAGTCCCAGGCTCTTACCCATGCTCTGACCAAGGACTATAAACGGAAGGTTTCAATGACCCCCTTCGACTCAGAATGCCAATTGAAAGTACAAGTTGTTACCTGTACTTCTGCCCCACTGGCTATAAATCAGAGTTTACACACCCCTCATCTGGTTTGTTTAATATGCTAGACTGGCTCACAGAACCCAGAGAAACATGTTACTAAGTCACTAGTTTATTGTAAAAGGCTCTAACTTAGGAACAACCAGATGGAAGAGGCATAGCACAAGCAAAATGGGAAGCAGCATGAAGCTCCCATGCCCTTTCCTCACATTTCCATGTGTTCCACCCGGAAGCTCTCCAAACCTCCTCCTCGGGTTTTTACATAGTCTTCATTTCATAGCCATGATTGATGACTTCACTGCCATTGACAACTGGTTCCATCTTGAGCCCTCCTGGAGTTGGGCTTGTGTGGAACTGAAAGTTCCAATCCTCAAATAACAATGTTGCCTCCACTGGCAACCAACACCCATCCGTAGGTGGTTTCCAAAAGTCACCTCAATAACGTGATAAAAGACACACCACTCTCAACACTTAGGAAATTCCAAAGGGTTGGGAAGCTATGACTCAGGAATTGTAAAATTTCACTTGGGTTCTTTTCTATTGCATTTATTTCTCCACTGAGAACCTGAGAACTCTATTTCAAGAGTGTTGATGTGTATGCTTCATGAAATACTGTTATCATAGCCACTTTTAAGTCTTTTCTCTGGGGGTCCTAATGCTTCAATCTCACAGGTTTGTCATATGATGATTGTCTTTCCTCCTCATAATTGGTCAGATTTTCCTGGTTCTTTGTATGTAATTTTGTGTTGCACCCTGGATACTTTGATTATAACGTTGTGATAGTCTGTCCTATTACAATCCTCTGGAGAATGTTAATTTTGTTTTAGAATGCAATCAACCTGATTATATTCAAACCAGAAATCCATCTGTGAGTAGTGGGACCAATTTCAATTTTCAGTGCAAGTGTCAAAGTCGTTGTGATGCTCTTTGCGTGTGCTCCTCACATGAACCATTTGGAGTTCATTTAGGTTTTAGGTCAGGGGTCCTCAAACTACGGCCCGCGGGCCACATGCAAATACAAATATTGTATTTGTTCCCGTTTTGTTTTTTTACTTCAAAATAAGATATGTGCAGTGTGCATAGGAATTTGTTCATACTTGTTTTTTTTAAACTATAGTCCGACCCTCCAACGGTCTGAGGGACAGTGAACTGGCCCCCTGTTTAAAAAGTTTGAGGACCCCTGTTTTAGGTACGGGTCTACATCATAGTAAAGTTTTACTTTATTACTCTTCTTTTTTTTAAAAAAAATATTTTATTGTTTTTTTTTACAGAGAGGAAGGGAGAGGGATAGAAAGTTAGAAACATCGATGAGAGAGAAACATTGATCAGCTGCCTCCTGCACACCCCCCACTGGGGATGTGCCCACAACCAAGGTACATGCCCTTGACCGTTATCAAACCTGGGACCTTTCAGTCCACAGGCCAATGCTCTATCCACTGAACCAAACCAGTCAAGGCTTTATTATGCTTCTTATTGTGCTTTTCACATGTCCTGAGTCTGGACTCTGGGATTTATGTCACAGAATTAGAGGATTACCCTTCTTCAGCTTTTTTTTTTTTTTTTTTTTTTTTTTTTTCCTCCCCCAACATTTCTGGTCCCCTGGGACCTTCTTTACTAGTACTTGCTAGTACTCTGGCTACAATGATGGAGTTCTTTCATTGTTTTAGTCTTCCATGATGTCAGGCAGTTTTGCTCTAGGCCCACCCAAGGGCAAAGCAGTGATATAAAAGATAAAAAAAAAAGGATTTCCTCCAGGCTTTTTGCAAAAAAAAAAGGGAGTAGTTTTCCAAGTGTTGCTATTCATAGAGATGAATTTTTCTCTCGGGGGTTTTAGGTGTCCATACCATTGCCACTGTTGTGACAGTGTGGTTTTGAGATGATTAAGTCTTAAGCCAGAACCAAGCTAAAAAAAAGAGAGAGAGACAAAAGAAAATGCAGATTCCCATCACACACTTCCAGACTCATGGGAATTACTTTTCTCTGTCCTCTGGCCATTATAACTAGTTTCTCTTAGGGTCTTTGCTTTTTATTCCAGCTACACAGTTCCCCAATTTGACCTTATTCAAGTCAAAGGTGGGCGATAAAGAAAAATGAGGAAACTCACTGTTTACTCTTTTTTGTTTTTTTAATTTTACACTTTCTTCTCCAGTGTCCTTGTACTTATTTATTTTTAGAGCCTCCAGGTAGTTATTATATTTTAAGTGTTTTTAGTTGTAATTAGTGAGAAACTGTATTGACCTTACTCAAGCATGACTGGCACGAGATGTCCCATACATTTATTTTCAGGTGACACACTATTGCTGCATTTCTAGGTACTTGATCATGAAGTTGGTCCTGTTCACATATTGATGGACTTGATTGCTAATAATTTGTTCATCAATTTTACATTTATGTTCATGAGGGATCTTAATCTGAAATTTCGAAGAGAGTTTTAATTGGATATTATTACACTGAAAGATTTTCTTAGTTGTACCTTTTACCACATCGTAGATGTCACCTTATGTTATATATGCTTGCCCTGAAAATCCCAGAATTCCTTGTATATTTCTTTTCATTCCTTCTCAAGTGGCTAATTCTTTTCAGAACTCATCTTCTTATAGAAATTCCTTGTCAACTGCAGACAATAGCAATCAAGGTAAACAACTAATATTTTGTTTTCTCTCTTTTCACTTAGGAAATTCCAACTGTTTAAAGATCTCTGCCAGAAACTGTAGCCCACTGCACAGCACACTCTTTGGGAGTCAGGATCACTCGGGATAGATGGCTTTCAAGCACATATTTTCAGACCTTAGTCTGCATAAGAATCAACTGAGTAACCCACTGGAAATGGAGATTCAGAGAGGCCCTGTGGTAGGCTCAGGAATCTGGGTTTTCCA